GCTCGGCCGAGACCCCTTGCAGCGGGGGGCGGCGGTCGGGCGACTGGCCCAGATGGGCCTGGGCCGCTGGCGGGAGCCGCGGAAGGGGCGTCAAGGGCGGCCTCGCGGCCGGCGACGGGCGGGGGCGTGTTAGCGCGAGTCGCCCCTCCGGGGTGCCCGGCCGACGGGCCGCGCTGTGCGAACGGCGCGTTGCGCGGCCCGCGGAGCGCGCTGGCGGCTGAGGCCTCGGGGGCCGCGGCTGGGGCGCCAGGGGCGTTGGAGGAGGCCCGAGGGGGGGGCGCGCGAGGGAGGGCGGTCTGCGAGATGGCGCGTGGGGTCGTCAGCCACGTGAGCGTCGGTAGGCACATGCATGGAGACCCCCCCAGTAGAACCCCCCCCGATCAAGTATGGTAACGTCGTGCTGAGGACGTGAGGCAGCCCAGGGGAACTGCTGCGGCCATGCGTGGTTGCGCGCAGAGCGCAAGTATGATCGAATCAGGGAGCCAAGCGTGGCAGAACTTACCAAAGCTTTTATAAGCCGCGGTTTTCTGGATGTTGATGTGGCGCGGGGGGCGACATTAAAACTAGTGGGCAAGGCGGAAGCGGACAGCCCCAAACAGCTCTGTAACCCAGCGTGGGGCAGAGGGGGCTCGACAGAAGGGGGCCTCAGTTCTTGATGCAGCTGGGTGAGCTCGTGGCCCGAGGGAACGCCGCGGCTCAGGACTGCGAGCAGGCGGCGGTCGTGCAAAATGGTATGCCCAACGCCGTGCTCCGAGATGCGCCACAACTCAGAGGAAGGTGCGCACTGATCGGAGCGCGGACTCCCCCCACGAGGCCCCCACCACCACACGAGGCCCCCACCAGCGGGCTGCTGGGGCCACGGGCTCGGTGGCGCGCCCGTGGGGGGGAGGGGGACGCGAGGAGGGGGCAGCCTTTCTCACGGGAAGGGGCCCCGGGGCACACAGAGAACGAAGTGGACGAAGCTCCCAGGATCCCATGTGTAGTCAAATACTTTCTGGATGCCCGCAGAGGCTGCAGAAGGCCGTGGGGCCAGGAAGCGCCACAACCGAGGAGAGCAGCCGAGGTGTAACCCCGCTGCTCACGCCCACCGCCAACAGATGCTGGGACAGGCCGAGCCCGAGCTGGCGGGGGGGGGCGCTGCTCTCCGTCGCCCGGGCCCGCGCGAGCGGCCCGAGCGAGTCCCCGCGGCGGGGGCCCCGGAGCCCGCGAGTGACGGGAAGGGCTGGCCGACGAGCCGCTCGTTGAGCGCGGCCCGAATGCCGCGGAAGAGAACCTCGACGGCTCTCTCGATGGCCACCTGGGAAGCGAACACATAAGACGCCCGCTGGGGCCCGCAGAGGAGAACTATTGGGCTGAGAAGCTGCAGAGATCGCTGGAGCGCAGGAGGCGCGGAACATAACATGACGCATGATGAGAGGTGAAGGGTGAGACGGAGGAGGGGGAGGTGGAGGAGGAGGAGGAGGAGGAGGAGGAGGCGGATATGGAGGAGGAGAAGGAAGAGGAGGAGGAGGAGGAGGAGGAGGAGGAGGAGGAGGAGGAGGAGGAGGAGGAAGAGATGGAGGAGGACATGGAGGATGAGGA